AGGATGAGGATGTAGAAATGCGTGACAAGGTTAGAAGGATGCATATTGATTGAAATGTATGGTCTATGGCTAGACTACACATATGATNTACGTTGTGAATGTGGGCTAATTATGAAGCTAACAAAGGCAGATAGACTNTGATGAATCAATGTGATTTACTTTTTNTTCGTTGATAAATTATACTTCTTTACATTGAGAGTATACCAATCGCCCCGGCAAGGCCGGAGCATGATTGGTATACTATCAATGTAAAGAAGTATAGTTAGTTGCATTGAAGTAAAAAGGAAGCCAAAAAAAAAAGTAAATCACATTGATTCATCTAAGTCCTTCAGCCAAATAGAGCAATAATGAGGCCACAAGGCGAGTGCTGCGAGAACGCTGCAAGCAGAAGCCATGAGCGCAAGCCATGACACGTGACAACCATGAGATATGATGACAAAGCATACCATGGATCGATAACACTCTGGAAATGTTGAGGGATGTTTCTAGGACAGGGCTAGCAAACAATTTGAGGAGAGAGAGAGCAGAGGCTTCACTATTCATATGCTAAGGGTGCTAAAAGCAAATGTTAAGCAAAGATTTGGTAGATTTGACTAGAAAATATGATGAAGAGGATGAGGCATTCAACCGTGGGAAGAAATCATTTTCGTGGGAGAAAGTCAAATTTCAGCGTTACCGCGCTGAAAAAAGTCTCGAGATCCCGGGTAATAAACGAGTCTCTTTGTAAACTCAGAGGACTCGTAATAATGAAAATTAACTTACTTGGACTTGAGTTCCGGGTCAACTCCCTTCTTGTTGTACTCCTCGGCCGTCCTCTGCAGTACGTCTTTCTCCCTTTTCTTCAGTTTTCCCATCATTTGAGTCACGACCCGCTCCCGAAAATCAAAATGAGTGGGATCTCCCCCTTTAGGCCTCTTTTGTCCCTCTTCAATGGCTTCGGCACAAAGCCTTTTCGCTTCGGTATTGATGGCATCCTTGTTCTCATGCTGGAACACACGCCGGGCGTGCCACGACTTTCCCATCCTCGGCATTTTCTGACTTCTCTTACGACTGTACCGGGCAAACCACTCTTTAATATCCTACAAGTCCGTCAGGAATCAATTAGAGGGCCCCTGGAAAAAGTACTTACTTTTTTAACAGCTGATCTTTCTTCCTTCTAAAACGATTTTCCATTGAGGAGTATGTCGAGCATG